CAGGGAACAGTCCACCATGATGGTGCGCTTCTCCAATCCGTGTTGATCGGTGATCTTCAACTGGATGTTGTCCTTCTTGTTGATGCACTCCTCCCAGAAGTAATGCACGAGAATCTCAAACGGCGTTCCTGCGGCGCCCGGGTTCAGAGGCAACAGCCTCTCATACATCTTCTTGAATTGGGAGAAACTGCCCTTCTCATGCGCCTTGATGCTTCGAATGACGTAGTCTGAGCGTGGCACGATGTAAGCAGACACAACACCACGCTTGAAGTCATCTTCGCCCGCATTTGCAAAGGCGGTGGGATTGCGAAAGAAAGCCAACAATCGTGAGTGCTGATGGTGATTCGTGTTGGAGGTGGGGCGATGATCTGGTGTCAGAAATCTTTGCATTTCTTGCTCTTCCAGTTGCTCAACGTCATCGGAAATGTTCTCCTCGTCCTGTGCGGGATTGAACCACAAGCGAACCGAACCACCGCAAATCCTGTAGGTGTGCTCTTTCAGCTGGTTCGCACTACCCTGACTTGCCTCAAAATAAGATTGAAAATCATCTTCGGACCAACTCCACAAGACAAGCTTCTGAGCAGCAATGCTTCTGTCTTTGCCTATGATATTCTCCTGCGCGTGTCCAGAAACCAAGCACATGAACTTGACATTCGGGAAGGGCTTCGGGTCAGCACTGCTTTCCAAAATGGTGCGGACGCCACGAAAAATGTCATTGGATTCGGTGGGGCTCTTGTCCCCCACATCAATGATGCAAACATCGCACGGGTTCTCGTTCAGGACTTGCCCCAACATGCTGTATTTCCAATCATCAACTTCATACGTCTTCTTCTTCTTGAACTCGGACACCACTATCACCTCCTGGCCTCTGATGGTGACATGCAGTGTCTTCTTTTTCGTGTTCTGTAAGGCATGGGCAACCAACCAACCGCACCACGTCTTGCCAGTTCCGGGACATCCCACCAGGGAGACCAAGCGCTTGGCATCCTCTTGAACCGGAGCGGACAAAACATCCACAGCCACATCGCGCACATCGAGCAAATGTTTGCGCAGGAAAATGGGTCGGGTCGCCTCTGTGTTTGATGCCAGCCTTAGCCGTCGTCAAACAACAACTGAAAAACAACAAAGAAACACAACCCCCAAAAAAGGGACGCTAAAACCATCCAAGGCGCAATGGCTTGAAACCTGAAACATCCAAAAGTTTGTTCATCTCCAGTGCCGCCAACTCGGGCAGTTCGACCTCCGCCTCCGTGGGTTTCGGCAATGCTGTCGTTGAACCAGATGCTTCAGCCTTGCCCAAAACAAGAAAAACAAACCCTAAACCCAACTAAGCAACCCAATCAACCAACCCTATCGGAACACCCTACGAGGGCACCAAACCTAGGGGGAATAAACCACTACGCTACAACCAAAGAGCCAAACCCTACACCTAATAAGTGAGAAATTCAAAAAAGCCTATCGGGGAAGCCTACGAATAAACGCAACAAATAAAAAACACAAGGCCTACTGCTGTAGAAAAAAATGCCAGATAAAGGGCAGGTGCTGGGGGGAAAGCATCTTGAATCCGCCTGTGCAGCGTTCCCACCACTATAAGCCGTGTTGTGTCATCTTGAATTATTTTCTGCAAATACGACGACAAGTTTTCCCGGGAGTCTTTGCAGAGGACATCATCGGGAACCTTCAACAGGGTCTTTGCCACAGTTTCCTTTTCGACGCCATCGATGTCCAAGTCTTGAAGCTTTTCCAGCAAGAACGAAGATGTGAGTTTCCGCCGCTTTGTTTCAGACTCCGCCATTGCAAGGAGGGATGTTGCACACAGATCTTTTGGCAAAAAAAATGTCTGACGAACAGATCTACGAAAGGATTTCTCACATGCAAGGTGTTGAACTCTAGGGCACAAAACCAGTGTGCACCATCATCTGCTTTAAGCTACTCGTTTTTTGAACAAGAAAACGCTGAGGATTTGGGCAGTTGCTTGGTTCCTAGGCCAGTTCGCTTCTTGGTCGGCTTACTATTCCCAGCAGAATATTCTGACATTTGTAGAAACAAATAGGTGGTAAAACATAATTTAAATTATCTTGCCAAAAAAAAAAATCGTCTTATCATTACTTTCTAAAAATCTCATAGATTAATTCTTCCGGGATTCTAATGATTTCACTATATTTATTTATCTACATATTTTTCTTCGTCTTCGTCATATTCAATCTCATAAAAGTTCAATGTTGTTTGTTTGGGTTGTTTTATCTCTTTGTTATTCAATTTTGTTAGATAGACGGCACGCATGTTTTTGAATTCGGCACTATTTGGAGCAATATAAGTAGATTGAGTTTTCTTTTCAGTTGCTTCGTTCATCTTCTCTAACAATTCCAAAACCGATTTAACATTTTTGTTACATCTATTAATCTTATTGGTCAATTCATCTAACTTTTCTAAATTAACGTCACAGCTTCGCTCTGAGAAGTCTTTAGACTTGTCACTTGCATTTGCCTCACTACAACTCATTATATATACAATACTATAGATTTTATTTTAAAACTTTTATCAAACTTTTAATCCATTTCTCCCATAGATATTTGCTTCTTTTTTCTTGGTGTGCCTACTACGTCGCTTATCATTTGATTTCTATTCTTTTCATCTTCACTTTCAGGTGTTATTTGCCTAGGGTTAAAACTGAATGATATGCTATGAAGTTCACTATCTAATGTTATACCCCCTTCATCATCCTTTTTAACATTCATTGTTTTATCGTTTTTTGAAATTTTGAAACTACAGGGAGAACAACGGCATTTAATCCCCTTTGGATTGATTTCAATTTCATTTTGTAACTGTAGTTTAGTAAAACAATTAGGACAATCAAAGATAATAAATTTACTTGTCAATTTTTGTTCTTCATCTAATTTAATTGTTGTCGGTTCATCATCAGACAACTCAAAATCTTCAGGGATTGGTTGTTTCTTAAGATTGTTTTTCTTTCTTGGTGGCATCTATTTTATATTTTAGAAAATCTAATGCAAATTTGGTCAGTTCCAGTGTGTGCTTACAACATCTTTTTATTTTATAATCTTTAATTACTGGAAATTTACTATCATCACTTATTCTTTCTTCAACATCATCTATTGCTTCCATATATGCTTCATATTCACTTAGTGTCATTATTAAAATAATTAGATAATATGTTCTTAAAATCTAATTATTTTTGGGACGACTTCAGGGGTATGAGGGGATATGGAACACTGCAACGCACTGAAAACGAATTCACGTAGTTCATTGAACCTAACTGAAGTTAGGTTGAATTCAAAACACAACTTGGCAAACTTGTAGCGTAGTATCATCTTTTTATTGCTTCCGAAAACTAATTAACTTCTTATGAGGATTGATGCTTCTTTATCTGTTACTCTTCTGTGCGGTAAAAAGTTCATCAATATTATTAAATATATTTATTTTCTAAATAAATATAATGACAAAATTAGACACTCCTAAAATAGAACCTATAAATGTAAAACAATATGAGTTCAAGCAATCGCCATACCCACAAGCAGACAAACTACCATTCAGAAGTATTATTGTCTCAGCATCACAGGGTGGTAAGGGTATATTAATACAGAACCTCATTCTAAAAATCTACAGGGGTTGCTTTGAGAGAATTTGGGTAGTGAGCCCCACAGCACACATTGATGAAGCCTACAAAGAAGTGATAAAATATATAACAAAGGAATTAAAAATAGATAATAAAAAAGAGCAGTTTTTGTTTGATGAGTATGATGGAGATGCATTACAGCACATCATAGACACACAGCACAAAGTCATTGAATACCAGAAGAAGAACAAGATGAATAAACTATTTAGTTGCCTGTTAGTCATTGATGATTTTGCAGAGGATAGAGTTTTTATGAAATATTCAAAGGTGCTACACGGCTTATACACAAAATCAAGACACTTTGGATTATCAGTAATCACAGCAACACAGAAGTATAACGCTTTAGCGCCGATAGTTAGATTAAACACATCTTCACTATATATTTTCAAGTTGAAAAATATGAAAGAAATTGACACCTTTATAGAAGAACAGTCAGCATTGGTTGATAAGAAAACTTTATATGAAATTTACAAAGTGGCAACAGAAGAACCCTATTCATTTTTATTTGTAAAATTAAGAGAGAGTGATATAAATATTTTTTTTTTTTTTAATGAAGAGACTGGAAGCAGAAATTCATATTACTTAAAAACACATCTAAAGGTATAAGTTGTTTTAAGATATTATAGGACAATGCCCAGAGTTCCAATAGACTACTCACAAACTCATTTCTACAAAATTGTTTGTAGAAATACTGACATAAAAGATTGCTATGTAGGTCATACAACTGATTTTACCAAAAGAAAAAATAGACACAAAAGTGATTGCTGTAATCAAAAGAGCAAACATCACAATGTCCCACTATATCAGTTTATTCGTGATAATGGAAACTGGGACAACTGGCAAATGATTTTGATAGATACTTTACATTGTGAAAATAGTTTGGATGCTTTAAAGAAGGAAAGAGAATACATAGAAGAACTCCAAGCGAAACTAAACAATAGAAAACCGTTCAGAACCGAAGATGACTTTAACCAATGGTGGAATGACAATAAAGATAAGATATATCAAAGAATGAAAGAATATGATAAAGAAAATGAAGGGCGTTTAAAACAATATAGGAAAAACAGGTATGAAAATAACAAACATGAAATACTAAGGAAACAAAGAGAGTATAATGCCAAAAACTATGAAAAAAACAGACTAAAACAATCATTAAAAATCAGTTGTGAATGTGGGACAACTTTTACAAAACAACATAAATTGAGACACGAAAGAAGCACCAAACACCAACAATACCTACAATCCCTCAATGAAAATTGATATTATTTCAATATAATATTATTAAGTTAGAAGAGACTGTAATTACAGACATCTATTTTTGGCAAAGCATATATCATTTTTGTTTGCTTTTCCTTATTCAATTTTTCAATTTTATTGTTTATTTCTTTTATCGCCTTTATTTGAAGTTTGTCTATATTACTGATGTCTAAATCATTTTCATCAATATTACTTAATTGTTCAGTGCAACTATTCTCAACCGAACTCTATTTATTTCCCATCTATATATCATTATTTATATTTTTAATTTTTGCTTTTACTTTTTGCTTTAGGTTTAGGTTTGTTTTTCTTCAACTCCTCAATGTCATTCATCATCTCAAATAATTTACTTTCAATCTGTTCTCTTCTATGGATTTCTTCTTGAAGTGCTTTCCACAACAAAACATTTATCTTAATATAATTCATATTCAAATTATCTTCCCTATCCTTACCAATAATATTTTTACTGAATACTTCTGGAAGTTCATCTAATAGTTGATTTGCTAAAAACCCTATCTGTTTTCCAACCCCAAATTTTTCATTTTTGTATTCAAAAGATTTCACATTTATTTTTTAACAATATCAGAAACATCAACATCAACATCTTCAATGTTCTTTTTAAGTTTATCATCAGAAATAGATGTATCTACCAAATTTCCTGCTATACTTTTCCCTGTATTATCTAGGGCACAATTTAAGTCCAAACTTTCACCTGTTCTATTGTATCTCATAAATTCAACTCTATTATTTCCTGCTACATTACCACCGTGAAAGACTAAATCAGTATCCACACTCCTTGACCTGAAAAAATTAGCATAAGAATATTCAGCACTTATACCCTTGCCGGTAGGAATTGATACAACATCAACATTATCAATATTGGCAGTGTTAATAAATCTCATATATTCAACTGAATTTCTTTGAAAAATCAAATCAACATCTCCAACTGTATTCATTGCATTAGTTAATAGTGTATGGTTTTCACCAATTCTAACGACGCTTGAATTTAAATACAATGGCATATTTGTATTTAGAAGGTCTCCAACAAAAAATCGTATAACACCATCGCTATTTTCTTGGACCAAATCAAACAATGAATTGGATGCTATGCTCTCTCTCATATAACAACTGGTAAATTCTAACCTTGATGGATTTAGTGGTAGTTTTAATGATTTTTCTAATTCTATTCTGTCGTCTGCTTGATTGAAAGTCATATAGGTATTTGAATTTCTTTTAAAAATCAAATCACTATTACCATCGGTATTTATGGTATTACAATTGATGGGTTGCTTTGCTATAACTTTATCTGTGTAAAGTGAAAATATATTGCTATTAGCACCTAAGCCAAATATTGTAATAGGATTTTTAGTAGTTTCCCTATTCCAAATTCGTAAAATGTTATTAGTGTCTCCTGTTTCAAGACTTTCATATATGTCTGTTTTACCTAACCCTCCTGCTATTAACAATGTTTTCTCACATTCAATTTTATTTGATACTTGACCGAATTTCATAAATTCAACTCCATTTCTTTGTAATGCTAAATCATTATTGCCTACGGTATTGATATTATCAACTTGGACTGTTTTACCAGCAACAAAATTAACATCACCTTGAATTTCAGTGTCTTTTTGTAAAAATATTTTTCCTGTTGCCTGTGAAAATGCCATAAAATCAATATCATTTCTTTTAAACACCATATCATTATCACTCGCTGTATTGATTGTATCTAATTTGGCACTACTTGACTGTAATGTTATACCGCTGTTAAGTTCAACCTGATTATTTCTTAAATAAAAGAAGTCAATAGCATTTCTTCTAAAACTTACATTAGGATTACCAACTGAATTGTAAATATTGCTCGCTACATTCTTTGAAAACTCAACTTGTTGTAATGTCCCTTC